ATGAAGCTGACAGCTTCCTCCATTACTGCACCATGGAACTCCACAGCAGCAGGAAACAAGAATCCATTAAAAACCAACCTACTGCAGTTCTACTTAGTTTCATGCACTCCTGCAGCATTGAATTCCACAATTTTCTTGTATCCATCAGCTTCACTGTGGGATAAGCCGAGGGACTAATGTAACTGCCACTCTCATCTTAAATGCAGCATTCATGCTTGCCCAGTTTGTATGAAGATTTGTCACCTGCATCTGCTCTTGAGAGCATGTGATGTGGATTCAAGGAACAAGATTTCTACCCCTCTTCTTGACCAAGTCCTGCAATTAAAGATGGTAGTGATTGGCCAACTTATTTAGCTGCTTCCTCAGCCTCCTGTCCATGTATCATTTAAAGACCCCCACAGGCTCTCACCCTAACAAATGATGCCACAATTCTCTTCCTGCAAGAATTAGAGACTGACATCAGATTTCTTGAAAAACAATCACACCACATGCATGCTTGATGCATATGAATCATTAGACCTGCTGCAGAATCTACAGGATGAGAGTACCTCAATGAACTTGCAAAACAAATAGTTCAGATGTTTGCAGAAAATGTTTGCCAATTACTTGTTATTTCAAATGTCAAGATGTCTACTACTTTTGTAGCATAGTCATACCACCAAAGCATATGTACTGTTTTGACTGATATCTCATACAATCCAGTTTAAGGTCAGTGATTCTTTTTATGCCTCTAAATTTCAGCTTAGCATATATATACCTGCAAAACATTGAAATATATATATATATATATATATATATATATATATATGTATGTATCCCCTTATAGTTAATCTTTTTTAGTTCCATTATATAATGGTTTGAAGCTCTAACTAAAATTAATCCCTTGAAGACTTTGTTGCTTGAGAAATTTAACTATTTATATCTTTATATGCATTATTTAAATTCATATTAGTCGATGTTAATTATGCTTAGTTGCAAGGGCAAATAAATAAAAAAATAGATATCCCTGAAAAATTTGTAGCTTTTTTATTAGCTCTTCTAATTTTTAGTTTGACATTACTATTTCCATAAAACTCAAAAATTAAAATTTTGGAAATCTCGAGGATCAAATAATTGATGAAATTAATAAAATTATTTTGTATTATTTAAAGTTTTGATGTTTTAGATACAATTATACCCATCATTAATAATAGTCAACTTGACTTTATTGGAACAATGTTATTTTTTTTATGGAAGTGGAATGATTTAATATTTAAGAGATACATACATACATACATAC